GCTTACTACGATATTTTTCTTTTCTGATTAGACCATTCTGTATTTAATTTCAACCCTTTGACATATAGTTACTTATATTTTTATTGTTTATATCATCACTGCTTTCTTAAAAGAACAGGTATAGGATTAAACCAGTTATAATCCCCCAGATAAGCACAGAAGTCCAGGGGAAATCAAGGTGAGGGTTTTTTTTACATTGTCTCTAGTGTTAGTGGCAATAAAGATCTACTCATATTCTTTAACAGCATTTATATTTTAGACACCAGCTGAAAAATGTCTTAAGTTATCTTTGTTCCCTGTATAAGAATCTTCCATCCAGTTGGCCAGATGGCCTTTGCTGGCCTTTGAAGTCTGAACTGGCTATGCAGGAAATTCAATTATCTATTTTAGGGTCCCTCCCTTACTTAGACTTAGTCCTAGGCCAGTTTTTTCCATAGAGCAATTAAAAATGTGACAGGAAAACCTGCTCCTGACCTCTTGATTACACTGGAAAATGGGTAGGTTTTTTCAATTTACTCATGTAGCATTTCTGAGTTCTTTCCTCCTGTAGAGTCTCTGACAGGAAAAGACCACAAATTAGATAGCAGTTGTCCTTTGGCCTCTTCTGTACCCTCCTTCCATCATAATAGCATAGATGTACCAATTACTGCTAAGTAGTCTTATAGTTACTAAGCACAGAAGATACCCAAACCACATTCTTAGAAATTGTGCTAAGGTCTGGCTACTGAGCTGGCACTAAAATAGAAGTGGAACTCTAAGTACTGAGCCTGGAAAACTGTATTCCTCCTGAATCAGACAATAGGAGAGAGATGACATTTTGCGTAAGAACACGCTGACACAGACCTAGCACTGAGCAGATGTGATTGTCCTTTCTACCTTTTAATTCTCATTCTATATTATCAGAACAAATAAAGTTCTTTGATGGTTGTCCCCTGGTAAAGACATTATAAATGACAGAAGTCAGAAAGAAGATACCAAAGCAATGTTACATCCAGCTCATCATCTCCACTGCTTTTTGCAACTCACTTCAGCTATTTACTGGAATTGAGAATTCTTTCAGAAGGCAGTGGTACAGGAAAACACTGTCCATAAAGAAGATACTAATGAAGATGGCAGTTGCCATCTGGTTTTCAAAGAACTTTATACAGCCTGACATCTAAAAAGGGGGGGAAACACATACAATATTATACACATAATGAAGTCCTTTCAAGGAAAAATTATTACATGATAAAGCTGAAGTTAAAACCCAATTTACTTTGGTATACTTTTTTTATTTTTATTATAGATTGTATCAGCATGGTCCCATAATGAGTTGCATTAGTACAACTAAAGTGCTGGAAAAATGAATGGTATAGCTTGGACAGGAATGTCCCAAGCAGGTGTCAGTGGTGTAACCCATGACTGACATAGTTATGGTGTGAATCAGCAGATATTCTTATATGAATATTTTGCATTGTTTGTTAATACATCTGTGTAACAAGAATATTCTATATAATCTCCTATATTTTAGTACATAAATATAAGTATCTTTCCATGTGTTTTTTCTTCAGAAATAACTTTATAAATTGTGTACCAAGTCTATTATATATTATATGTATTACATGAATCCTGCATTGGTATGGGGGTATTATTTATTATTGATATACTTATTTCTTGTCTCAAAATGAATTTATTTGCCACTGTAGTCCATATTAGTCACTGTAGTTTCTCACACAAATTTTTGGATTTAATAGTTGGTTAGCCATTGGTTGCTGTTTAAAATGGGTACGTGCAGTGCAAAATCAGTATGTAGCTGTCACAGCAAACATTGCCTGCCGGTCCTTTACCATGCAGTTCACCACATCATTTAAATGCTTCAATAAAATACCCTCTATTGAATTTATATTGACATAAGTTTTAAAAATTTTCATGAACATAATCTACAACAGGAACTCTAAATATAATATGAAGTTTCAGAGAAAGCACACTCAATAATACAATGTACACTGAGTGTCTCAGACAAAAAGTTACATTGTTTATATGACCATGAAGTTGTGTAAAGATAGAAAAAAAATCCAGATCCTCTTACTATCTTTGGGCCAACACACCTGCTGTAACATGAGGTACATTCATATGTTATTCTGCAACAATATACTTGTATTTTTAGTGCATGAAATCTCAGCATTGCACTGATTCCACTTTGGTCCATAGTCAATATGCTACCAGAAACACTACTTAAATCTTAGCGCTGAATGCCTGGGCAATTTCATGTTTCATCAGCCAAATATTTCAGAACTGTGGGAATCAAGGCTTATAGGACTTGAAATTATTTTGGTGGGACATTATACTCTGTATTACTTGTACAAGAAGACTGAAATATAAAATTTCTTAAAATAAAACAAACTTCTGAGAAGAACGACAGTAACATGCAACAAAACTTACTATGCATGCATTTCCTTTGTTTTGGGGACTGCAATATTAGGGTGATTCCTTTCATGTGTCATATCATCATTAAAAGCTCAATTAAAATTTACCTTATTAATTTTCTTCTTTTGAGAAACACACTGAGGGTGACTAACTTGGGGTGCTTTCCACTACAACATTTATTTTTTGATGAAATAATATGTTAAGCCATCACAAGGAGTGGTTTGTATAATATATTAAGTCTGACAGGATTAACCAATGAAGAGTAGTTTCGTTAGTTACTTCGGTTTATTTGTACACGAGTGAAGTCATTCCTTGTAGAAGTACCTTGGCATAAGAAACCTGTTTTTCATTTTTCACCAAAGGCAAAATCATTCATTTTGGTGGCTGGATGCACAAGAGAGAAAGGCAAGAAGCAGAAGACACTTCATGCATTGACTATGTCCAAACTAGGAAAAAGGAATGTTCACTTTTCATGGTCCTTACCCACTCATGCCAGGCAGAGTCTCTCCCAGAGTGCACTGCAGATCCAGTCCTGTATACATACACACATTTCCTTTAAGAAGAAAGGGAGTTCACAGGGAAAGATGGAGCAATCAAGACCTCAAAGCTGGAAATTGCTCTCTGATCATGCAGTTCAGACATTCCAGCTGAATGCCTGGGGATGGTTCAAAATCTCAGTGAAATTGTTTGTCCTCAGAGCATGCTTATATGATGAGGCTTAAAAAATTTGTTTTGCATACTTAGGGAAAATATACTGTTGGATGGATGAAAAAGTGAAAATTAAATTCCAACTCAGAAACACCTGCTAGAGGACCTGCTTTGAAAGGATTCAGAGCAGTAGCCTATATCTAGATGCTCCCTTATCACCCACTACAGAGGAAGCCTAAAGGCACTTGGTTCCCAGGGCTAAAGTGACCATTTGTGAATGTCAATCCCTCTTAATGATATTTGACTGGAGTGTAAAGGTAAAATTTTAATGATGAATGGTCTATACTGTCCTACATTTGATACAATGGAAATTTGTTGTCAAGGGAACAACAATGAAATGCTTTTTAAAAAGAATAAAGAGCACCAGAAAGGAGTTTGCTGGTTTATCACTTTCTGCATGTTCAATGCATAAGTTTTTGAGATCCTGCTTATGACTTGAGGATATATCCACCTAAGTTTGTTAGGTCTTCATGAGGCAAACACATCTGACAGCACACTGTGCATTTTCTCTGTGTGAGAATGCACTGTCTTTACACGGCATGATGCACGCTTGTATTTTTCTTACCCATTGTACTATTTTACCTAGTGTTCTATAATACCAACCAGCTAATGCTTACTTTGCCTTAGGATCCCTATCACAGATGCAAGCATCCACTGTTGGGAAGAAGGAGACAGCAGGGGATAGGAGGGAGGATACTGAGGTTTTTTTGTTAACTTGCTTCCTTCAAGCATTACCACTATTACGCTTTTATAAGTTATTAGTTTTATGAGAGATGTCATTATAAAACATAACAATGTGTGATGGTAACTGTGCCATTAAGGTCTCTAGTGGAACATTAATTATTGATCTTTGCCTCAAGAGCATCAGAATGTTGCATTAGAGCTGCAATGAACTGTTCACCTTACAAGCATTAAACTGAACTATGTCATTCAAAGGTGACAAGGTTTAACTCTGCTACCATATACAGAGCAATCCAAAGAGTGCAAGAGAATTGCTAACACAGTCAAACCTGCCTAGCAAAAATAGGATATTTGACACAAACAACCTTGCTGTTGGACTGGATATTTTTTAACTCGTTCTCAGTTTCTTGTTCCTTGTTCACCTTCTGAGTTCCCTTGCTTCCTGCAACCAATGCTTTTAGCAATAAGGGTCCAGGAGAGGGTTTATCACTCTTCCTAAGTGACTGGTGCTGCGATCAGTTCCCTTGGTATCGTTTAGGAATGAAAGAGATTTACAAGCCAGTAGACCTCCCTGGCAGGTGTTCTACCACAAGTAAATAGTGCTATCGCTGCAGTGATATGGGCTAAGTACATATGTGGCAGAACAATATTCAAAACCAATCACTGGGAGAAAGTAAGGTCTCCTGCTGCGGTGCCACCAGCAAAGCCTCTCTCCTTGGCCTTTCAGTAATTTTGAAGTTTTCTTCATTAACTTGAGCTACTGCTCTTGACTTCTATCAGCCCTGCTGATAGAGAAACTGTCTGGTGTGTTATCATGTGGTATCACATATCACAGCCATCCCCCTCTAGTCCCTGCTATGCATAAACATATTCCTTACTTTAAGCATTAGCAACTGGCCCATGGAAGGACGAGAAAAATATTTTAGGTAGCTAACTTTTACTCACCTGTCACTATATCTAATTTTGTTTAACCCTTTTTCCTCTGTTATCCCCGTTTCTGTCTCACAGAATATAAATTTCTGCCTCTATTAAGTTTGTGCTGACTTTGAGAAAGCATCTTTCTACTTCTGGCTATTCTTAAACCTAACAGACTACAGACCATACTTTTCACATTCACGGAAGTATCAAGTACAAAAGTAATTTTTCAAACAACACTTTTCTAACTCTAATTGCCTTTTTTCTGTCATTTTTCCCCTTGCTGACAGCCATTAAAAGAGTGTTCACTGACTGATGTGGTGATGTTGGTCAAACCTGGCTCTATAGATGACACTTCAGCCTGAGCAGGTGAGGAATCAGTCCATGGGGCTGGCAGATTAATTCTCTTCATGTTAGCATCCTCAAATTACGATTACTCTATTTTGAGACACTGCTGTTGCTACACTCTGGCAGGCTTTCAGACAAACCTCAACAATCCATAATAGTAGAGAATTTAGTTCTGATATGTGCCAGGATGAAAACACCTAGATTAGACTGAGATTTCCTAAGGGAAATTAAATCACAGATATATTATTCTATTAAGAGACAGTCCTTGTCCCTAAAGCAAATTTCCAGCTCTTTGTCATCTGCATAAAGTTTAAAGGTTTAGATTCTGCTGTGCTTTTGTTTTTTTGGTTTTTTTCTTTCATTATCTTCATAATTGTTAATAAGTATTAGGTAAATTTCTGTTCTAGAGTCTCTCCAAGAGACTTGAAAGAAAGAAACAAAGGGAAAAAATGCAAGATCCTCAACTCCTGAACTACATGAATAAACTAGGAGGCAGGAGCTACAGATCACAAGTTGTCTGAATCAGCTGCAACATACAGAACAGATGTACTCCATCAGTAAGACTATGATGTTCTGTCAACGTGGTTATGTTAGGAAAAAACTCTATGGATATAAAATTGCACTGCTTGACTGGTACAAGTTGGCAAAATCTGTATAATGGATAGAACCATGCCAGCAAACAAATGTTTTTTCTCAGCTTAGCCTTTGACCTGACAAAGGTAATGTGGCTTTGTGAGCAAAGCTCTCCTTTTGCCACATATAAAATATCTCTGCTGGGAAGTTCTTTCAGCATGTGCGAAGATAGCATATAGTGAGAAAAATCTGCATTGTAGATATGGGTATGTTAAATAGTTTACTAATAATCATGTAGAGGACACACACAGGGAGAATGAAAAAAATACAAAATTCATTAGGCACTGGAAAGAAAATATAAAACACTAAGAGAAGCCTTCCAGCTCCTCTAAGACTTGCCCCATACTTAATTTTGGGATCTCTGGTATCATCCACAGCACCTGTAATTGTACAATGAAAGAAAGCAAGATAAACTTGCTATTTCTTTCTGCTGTTTTTACTCTGTGAAATAACAAGATGACTTGAATGCAGAGAATTTCGTTGAAGTTATTGCAAAATTAAAGGTATTCACTTGCTACCACACAGAAATTATATTAGAATTCATTTGCAGGGATTTAAATCTCTCATTTTTGAGTTGGCAGTTAAATCCAGCTCAAGCTGAAAGCAGCCAACAGCTATCTGATGACTATTCAATGCATGGTGTAAAATTACTTTAATTCACTTTTGGACAATACCTAAATAAAAATATGCATCTTCCCCAACTCAATGAGTGACACTTTTACTGATGGTATCACCATTAAATCTTGTGTCCCCTTAGATAGCTCCTCCAGCAATTGGCCTTTTGCCTAGTGAAATTAAGAAGCATCAAAGTTATAACAATTCAACTATGTCTCCATTACTCTCTGCAGTTGTGTCCTGACCAAGCAGCGCTGCTTTTATTGGAGCTCTGTGAAAATTTAAGGCTTGTCCACATAGAGCATGTTAAGTGGACAAGTATTAGTTTGTGTTTTAGGCCCAGTCTAAAACACTCAGTTCCCAGTCAAATTTCAAAGGAAGCAGCTACTGGAGTGAGGATTATGCATTTAAAAAGAAATATATTTAGTTACTGGGCAGTCTGCCATACACAAATTTCCAGTCCTGTACTTGTTCCCTGTACCTATGCTTGGAAAATGGTAATTGTAACATCGAGACTTCCTTAATTTTACCAGTGTTTAGTTCTTTGAATAAGTCACATATAACATTTCAGATTTTCCATACAAGTGTCAAAAAAATGCCTAAATAACATCTCAGTGTAAACATAAACATGTTTACCTATGCATTTAGTAGCCTAATCTATAATAATGACTCCTTGCTACTTTGCAAGAACTACTAATAATGTTAGAATGTAAAATAAAAAAAATAAAACTAAATAAAATTAAATAACCACTTTACTGCCTCATATTCACTAATGGGCTCTGAACCAGTATTAACTAGAATAAATACATATTTCAACATGGCATACAGGTAGAAACAATGATTCTAACTTCTCTGCCTTTGTAGAGAGTACTCAGTACCTCTCAAATTAAAAGATTTATTCTTATGCTAATATTTTAATTCTTCAATATAATATTTCCTAAACTTCTAATCTAGTTAAATAAAAATCTTATTCCCACTGAATTTAATCTAATTTCAAGAAAATAGTATTTACAATCATCAAGACATATTTATTTAATGTTTTACTAGAATTTAAAAGGTAAACATTACCTGAAAACTGCTACTGTTGTTTTCATTCTCTGGGAAACTGTAATTTATAGACTTCTTTAGATTTTGAATTCTGGAACCATAGTGGCCTCTATTGTTGTCATATTAGAATAGCATGTACCGCAAGTGTAAATAAATCACCTTTAGGCATTTTTCATTCATTGAAAATATATGACAATAGCCATCACCCTGGCTCTAATATACAGAAAAACTTTTCAAGACGTTCCTGTGATAATAATATTCTCCTGCATCCAACATCTGAGCAGTCACAGACATGCCAACCTTTGTTGTCAAACGAAATTGGGCTCTGCTTTGAAAATTACAGAAGATGTAAGGCATGTAAAATTTTCTCATTTTGCTGAGAATATCAGGAAAGTGACATAAATTAGAAGCAGTTTTTTCTTCTTGCTGATCAAATGATTGTTTGTGCAAAGACAAAAGATGAAATTGCATGTTACTCTAGCCATCAACAAACTTTGATTAGATCATAGCTTTAATTTAGGCTTTCCAGTGCTATAAACACCTCCATTAATAGAAAAATGAATTTTTTTTTCAAAATACAGTTTAACCAAACTTAAAATAGAGATATAAATATATGTAGATATAGATAGATATAGATATAGATGATATAGATATAGATTAGATTAGATATAGATATAAATATACTTTTGAGACTACATGTATCTCTGTCCACTGGCTGGTCAAGAATCCCAGACAATTTCTTTAGATAATGTTTCTAGGTGAAAAAAATTAGTCAAGATGAATGTAACTCTAAAGATTAAATCTGATGTCAGTTTACTAAGAAACAACAGAATAATTACTCCTTAAAAAATGCTCAAATGCAATTTATGTCAACATTTTATATACCAGAATGAGTTTTCATTGTGAGAAATTTAACTACTAATTAATCAGGTTTTGCCCAACACTGTGAGGAGAGAACTAAAATGATACACTGAAATTCAGTTCTATGAAGTCTGATAGTAAATATTCCACGGAGAACAGACTAAAACTCAACTCCCATTTTCTTTCCCCTCAGGAAGCATGACTGATCTTCCTTATTCTCTCTATTACAGAGTGATTTATATGCCTTGTGCTTAGCATCATTGACAAAATTCTTTCCTCTCCCAATTTTTGAGCCAAAAATCCCCACTATTATACTGTTAAACCTATAAAAAAAAAGAAGTCTTTTGCAGAAAACGATGGAACTAAATGTTTAAGATTTCATATTATACAGCATCAAATGTTCTTAATATTTGGGAGTTAATTAATATGAAGGTTTATAGTAAATAAAGGTCTTCATAATCATCTGCAGTAAAGTATGCATGTATTTGTTGATTGATATTTGGAAAAATAATTGAAAAAATTATTTACTGACATTGTGAGCTTTAAAAATTAGTACAATGGGCTTTTTTTGTCAATAGCCAAGGACGTGATGAATGAAGTTTGGGTAATATGAACATACAACTTAAAAAGGAGACAACCTAGCACAAAGTAATCAAAGATGTTGAGAGATAGCTGTTCACATATTTCAGTGACTTTGCAACAGAGGGATCTGATGTATGCACTGTAAATAGGAAACTTGATTCATGATCTGAGCAGATCACTCTGCCAATCTCATATTTTATGTGGCTGAAAGAAGGCTAATTTTATGTCAAATTCTGTCTGCAAGCTTTCCCAGTTTATACTTTCTTGACTTCTTTAAATCAGCAAAAAATAGCAGCAATCAGACAGGAAGTAGAAAGAGAACAAAACATACATGTATTATGTACTTAGCATTGACAGATGTTTGTTCCTCTTCAGACATCAGTAAAGAAAATATTAAAGTAGCTTCTGACAGTAAGACTAATTGGAAAACCAAGTCAATAGTAATGCTTTGTATATGTCAAGGTATATGGCCTTCTGTCAGTACCTTGCTACTTATCCTGAAGAAAGATGATATTAGGTAGTTAGTTAGATAATTCAGTAGAAACAGTTAAGTTATTAAGCAATTAGCATTACTGAAATAAGCACTAGGGCTGTCTCCTAAAAAGTTACTATTTCCTTGCTCTTTCAAAAGCAGATTTGATAGATGTAACAGAACTATAAAATAGCCCAAGCAAAAAGGGACCTCAGAAGATCATCTAGTCTAATTTTTTGTGGGGAAGAGAACCTGGATGAGATTATCTAACACCCTGTCCAATTGCATCTTGAAAAAATCCAGCGATAGAGTCTCTATCACATTCCTGGGGAGGTTGTTCAATTGAATGATTGTTTTTGCTGTAAAAAATTCCTTTCTTATATCATGACAAAACCACTCCGGGTACAACTTGTATTTATTTGCCTGTGTCTTCTCCATGTTGCTCCCTGTGAAGAGAGAGCCATCCTCTTTGCAGTTGCCCTTTAAGGACTGGAATATGGTAATGAAGCCCTCCCCTAGTCCTTCTCTTCTCCAGGGCAAAAAAGGCCTAACTCCTTCAGTCTCTTCTCATAGAACAGGTTCTTCCATCCTGGGCCTCCTTTGGACCCTCTCCAGTCTTTATTTCTCTTGAATTGTGGGGACCATAACCAGGCACAGTGCTCCAAGTGAGGCCTGACAAGTGCTGAGTACAGTAGGATGTTCAAGTCTATTTCTGGTAGTTATGCCCCTGCTGATGCAGCCCAGGATCCAATATGCCATCACTGATGCAACAGCTCACAGCTGACATATTTGGCTCTCCAGCCAAACAGAT